GTGTGTGTGTGTCCCTGCGTACAGTGTATGTGTGTACACACACACACGAGAGGGAGGGGGGAAACCACATTCACTTGAAAGAAAGCCTGCACCTGATTTTAAAGCAACCTTTTTTCTTCTTTAAGCACATTTTTAGCTATGCTGGAATGACCAGCTCTTTTTAAAGATTAGCACGACCCTGACCTTGGCTGGGTTAAAGAAGCTAAAATATAGTCAGACCTGGTTGGTATTTACATGGGAGACAATTAGGAAATCTTTGGGCTATTGGCCAAGTGGAAAGTCAAAGCAAACGTACCAGAGGAAGATAGAGGCTCCCTCCTATTGCTTCCATATCATCATCAGATGTTGAATTTAATATATGGAAAGTTTGTTTTTCCTTTTCTGGGCAGAATATTCTTTAAGTAAATATTATTTCTGATGCTTTATGTCCCATTTCTCTTTAACCTGCCAAAACCTCCTATCCACTTATAGGACAGTACTGACTGTATTTATAGCTATTATGAAGCAAATATTCCAATTCCCTTTCTCTGCAAATTCCAAATAAACATAAAATAAAAATGTCTTTCTTCATTGCTGGAATGTCATTTAAATATGAATATAGGAAATATATTACCTCTGCAGTATCCATGCACTATAAATGCCCAAATGTCCAGTTCAAACCTATTAGCCCAATGGATCCCTAAATGATTAATGCACAGAAACCAGTCTTCCAATCTAGACCTGGTGCCGAAACTTTTATGCAGTAATTGACTTTAGGTCAGCTTTTGATACAGTATCGAGATCTAAACCATGGCATAAGTTGAAGAATAAACAATAAACAAACTATTTTTGCTGCTCATTAAAATACATGAGAATGCAAGACTGAAGGTCAGGTGCTGTAATCAAGGATATGTCATAAAGGAAATGCCAACAGGGAGGCAAGTTAGACAGCAAAAATAGTTTGTTTATTGTTTATTCTTCAACTTATGCCATGGTTTAGATCTCGATACTGTATCAAAAGCTGACCTAAAGTTTACTGGCTCCTTTTATTAAACTGTCGTATAAATTCATTAGTAACTCACCCAAGTAACTCTACCTTCCATATACATTTATCACTGTATGCTAATGGTGCAGTATTTCTGTCACTGACTACCACTGGCCTTAAAAGAAGAGTCTTGAGATCCCTTGTGCAATATTCTATAGAGGAAGAACCAATAATAAATTACTCCAAGACTAAAAATTACGCTTTGTCCAAATGCCCAAAATAGACAAGCTAGACTTTGGTGGCTAGTTCATTGAACAGGATAAGATTTTTAGACATTTAGGGATAGATTTGCAAGCTTCAGGAAGCAGAAATGCCCACCTCCATTATGTATCGCATAATGGAAAAAGAGTTGCACACACTATTCCAAGTTATATTTCTAGAGCAGCCCAGTTTATTTCTGTTGCAATTAAGTTGTTTGTAGCTAAAGCCAAGCACAGTTATGATATGGGGCACAATTAAGTCCATGTAACAGCACGATTAACTTAGAAAGAAATCAAACAATGTTTTTGAGAAGTATCTTCCAGGTTGACCACTGTGTTCCAAATTGAGTAATTCAATAGGCAGCAGGAATCAATAAACTTGAATTCAATTTCTGGATAAATATTTTTACTTACTGGCTAAAACTATATCACAGTCCTAGTAGATGACCTATCAACTTCAAATCTTGAGGAAAAGCTATCCAAAAGAAATTGAGCCACTATGGATTTACACTGATACAATCTTAACTTTAGGGTCAGATCAAGCTAGAACAATATTAAAACAAATTATCTTAAATGTAGAAGGCCAAACAGAAATTGCTGCTTTTTCTAACAATGTAATTGTAAATAACCAAATTTTAGCACCTAAACCAGCTTCTTTATAACATAGCCCCCAAATTCAGGAGAGTTCCATCTTTAGCCCAATTTAATGTTCTCCTCACACTTTGGAAGGAAAATACAGGATTCGTTATATATTGCCACTGTTACTTGGGTGCCATAGAAACCACAGCCCATGTACTTTTCTGTTGTCAGGGTCATTTCGGCAGTTGATTACCACCACCCCCTTATCTAAATGTCCAAGGTACTCTGATGATTTTAATTACATTATTTGTTACACAATCAAGATAGATTTCTCTCTCTAAAAATAGCATAATTCTGCTACTTTATATGTAAACTCTGCCTATAAATGGTTGCCAGCAGTCTTTGATGTTAGGCGTTTTACTTTGCTTCATGTGGCTGAATATATATTTTATTGGTCAATGACAGAAATCAAGTTTCTGAATGACTTTCTGCCTGACATAGGTGCCAGCCCAATCTATAATAGTACTAAAAAGTCTAGTATTTGTGATTGTGTGTAACCTTCCTTTGGATGAAACGCTGTATCAAAGGGCAACAATTTTTGAATCCTTGTACCTCAAGCAGACTAACTTAACAGAATGCATCCAAAATCTGGGACCCATGACAGCTGTGGGATTAAAATTTGGCAAAGTTCTGATTGCTTCAGTGCTACTACGCTGCCATGCTGCTCCACTGCCCCCCCCCACACCCATGGTCACATGACTCCCATTTCAAATCCCTACCTTCCTACAAGGGAAGTCAATGAGGAAGCCAACAGGAAGTTGAAAATCATTCCAGCTCTTATGTTTCTTTGCCTGCCTGTAATCATTCTATTTCTTTGTTTATGTAAGGAAAAATCTCTGAAACAATAACCCAAATGGGTCATGGGTTGTCTGGTGGCATGTTAAAGCATTCCAAATGCATGCCAGCCTCCAGAGTTTC